TTGCCATTACAATAAAAGTCAGTATACGGTTTTGCCCAAATGAGGTTGGTCATAACTATAGGTTTACCCGATCAAAAGCCGAAATATGACATTTTGCCCAAGGATTGTGGGCAGTTCTCGTTTTGCCCGGGCATTTCTGAGGTTTGTCCGATTTCGGCTGTTGACCGTAACATATTATACAAATACAATATATTATATTATACAATCGTTATAAAATAGTTTTACCCATTTTACCCGATGTATATAAAAAAAATTGCTAAGTACTTGACCTGATAATACATAAAATATAAAAATAATAATAGGGCCTGGTATAGGGTGGTGATTTTAGCCGCAGTCAGTAGTCACACTGATATGTGTTGTGGTCAAGCATCGCCTAACGTCGCTAGCTCCTGAATGCGTGACAATAATAAGGGTTTTTAGAGACTAATACTCGCAAAACACAAAAGCTAATAAACATAGTTGATTATGAAATCAATAAAAAAATTTACAATACTTACGAGTGAATCCAATAGTTTTAAAGGTATCTGTTGGTAATTTTAAAAATATAATTTTAGCAGACATATGCATTATATTTAAAGAAATATTACACTTATGAAAATTATAATCAAATACAAATTAAATCTTAAAACAATAAAAATTAATTCTAACTCTCGTTAAAATTTACTAATCACTAACATAGGTGTATTTTTGAAATAACGATCGTTCAAAAGAAAAAATAGGTAGGTGCCTAGATGTGAATGAATGAAGAATTAAATTTTGCTACAACATAAAGTTTGAAATTATTATTGAAATATCGGCCATCTTGTTGCTCTACCAGACATATTTATTAATCATTTATACTATACAATTATATTGTTTTATAATATTATACTTTGAAAGCATATATAGGTATAAAGTATGAATTGTAAAGTATTCAACATCAACATTCAACATTCACAGTTCTCCACAAACCCTCTATTCTTTGATAATGTGCACCAAAGTGCACCTAATACTATAATATTCGAGTGGTATAATAGAGTGCATAATATAAGATAGCCAAAATATCATATAGGTATGTTTGACACCTAGCTATATAGTGCATAAATTTAAATCACTTTATCATATTTATGTAATAAAAATAAATCATAAAATTTATCAACTATATAGGTACAAAGTTGACTAATATGAAGCCCCTTACTTGTGCATTCTAAAAAAATTTTAAATACTTAATTAAATAAATTATTGGATATTTAAAATTGACGAATATTATTGATCGGATATCACATTCACTATATTATTTATTATAAAACATATCGATATCTTAATTTTGGTACATAATAAAACTTAGTCTTGTAGGTGCATTTATATAAAAAATTCCTAGTATATTTCAAAAAGATTATAAATATTTTATTGTTGAATAACAAAAACTATTTAATAATCTATCACTTTTATAATAGCTACAAAATACATAATATAATAATGGTATTTATTTTATTTTATTAAATATGGACGTAGCACAAAGTACAGTAAATGAAAGTTAACCCTTATATACAAATAACAAATAGCAATGTTATTATATATTATACTATAAGTATATTCATTTTTTAGAATAATATATTTAATGTTTATAAAATAAAAAATATAAATTTTTTAAATTAATTAAATATATATTATTTAAGGAATCATCGCCTTTAACACGAACTTTAGCTAAAAGAAGATGAGCAAACGATTATCTATTTGTATTATATCGTTTGTTTACAATTAATTAATTAATTAATAATAAAAATTGTAATATTAATGTTGTACAGTTATGTTTATTAATAAACAATAATATACATTTTTATATTTAAATATAATTATAACATAATTGTTAGTTATTAGTGTTATTACCATCTATTTCCTGATTTCCTTGACAACATATTAAATCAATTGTTACCGTTAATATTACTAAGACTTTAAATGAAATCATAGTTATTATTGATAACTACAAAGAACAACTATAAACTTCGTTTTACAATAGATGTACGTAATGTGTTTAATAAAAAATAGGTAGGTACTATATTATAAAATACTTCAAATAAATGCCTATTTACTTAGGTGTTTATGCTTTATAACAACTAAGTAAACACTTCATATCGTGTTTTCATGAAAATCTGCTTAAAATCCATATGAAAAAAAAGTTTTAGTACTGTTATATTTATTTAGATTTGAGGAGAAACTAATTAAATAATAAACTTGATATTGTTGTTGGTAACCTAGTTAGGGCTTTATTGTTATAAAATATATTAACGATATACATTACATAATATACAATTCAACAAAAATAGTAAATCCGAAACGGCGATTTACTAGTATGACTGTAGTGACACAGTAGACTGTGAGTAGTGCGAGTCACTGCGTCGTAAACGAGGACCTCGACCGCACGGAAACGAAAAACTAACTTGTTTTGCACACTTGGCACTTGCCAGTTGCCACTCGCGCGTCTCCGGTGGCGGTAGTAGCGAACAGTGTGTCAGTGTGCCACATTTAACAATTTAAAATATATTATGAAAAATGAAGGAGCTAACATTCGGCCATTCTACCCTTAGGATCGTCCTCAATCCGGGTCGATTACATAAAAAAAAAAAATAATAATAATAATACAAAATATGTAAAGAGCATAATAATAATAATACAAAAGTAAAGAACATGATAATAATAATACAAATATAAAGAACATAATAATGATACAAATCAAATTCAAACATATAGTCTACATACGTATGAACATTAAACGGTGGCAACATCATAGATTTAAATTTTAAATTCTATTAGGTTTAATATTATTATATGATATTTAATGGGCGTTGGAAGTCCTTTGTTTCGAATCAACTGGTATAACAAGTGTATAAACATGAAACATATTTTTTTAAATATTAATAATTCGCGACCTTTGTGTTCGAAAACAATTTAAAACGAATTCGTTTTATAATTTCCATGTTTTTAAATTTGTTCACGATTCGATACCGATCGTTATTTCAACTAAAACATACCAATCTTTTGTCCATCATTCCTATGGACCAAATAAGGCATTTAAAAACTGAATTTGAATTCTTTATTATGTCTTCTTGAGATCGGCCACGTCACTTTTTCAAATGTTGGTCACTTATCTTTTAAATATCGATTTAAAAATCTTGAAATTTAAAAAAACGGTAAGCACTGAATTAAAATTGTAAATTCGTAAAAGTGGCTCGCCCAATCTCAAGAAAACATAATGACGAATTTAAATCAGTCTTTATAAGTTTCATCGTATTATTAGATCCATCAGATTGATGGATAAAATATTGGATGTTTTGGTCGATTTAATTTTGCTCACATGCACGACATTGTGCACGTTTTCATGTGCATGAGCGTGTGTGAGTGTTTGTTTCTTGGTGAGCGGTGGTGTGGGAGTCACTCACACTAATAATCAGTAACTGCACATACGGGTCATAATATATTATCAATTACGCCGAAATTATCTTTTTACCTGTAAAAATCTATTGATTGCGCTGCGTATCGTCTCCGCCGAACTTTTTTACTTATTGTTATTGACTCCGCCTGCAGGTACCAACTTTATCAATCCGCTGAATATTTGTAGGTAAATAACAAATTTGCACTCGTAACAAAATAAGTTAAATATATGAAATACATGACCAATAGATTTTCTTATATAAAACTGGCCTCTAACAACTATTTTATTACCATACGTCCATACCTATATATTTTACTTATATTATTATTGACTTACGACAATTATTGATAATTATTTAAATTACATGAAGTTAACTGTATTTTTTATTATTCTAAATATTATACAGTGAAATTTCCATATAAAGAAGTCGAATAAACAACAAAAATATAAAATTATCATATTTAGACTGTTTAGTGTAAAGTCAATATATTTTTATGTTAATTCATTTAAAATAAATTAAGAAATACATATTGATTTTAGCCTTTAGGGCGTGTATGTATAGGTATTATAATAATATATTACGTTATATATTATACTACGTGATTTGTTTAATAAAAGACTGATTCAATAAATTAAAAAAAAAGA